ATAATCTGTGCTTAGCATAAGGGATAACAGATCTGATAGCCCTGTATGCCCTATCCCATCGGTGACAACGAAATAGGTGATTTATTCATCATGGCTTCTAAAAAATTCTATAGCACCCACTCGAAGATTGAGACGTCTCGTCAGCGATTATGCAGTGGAAACACAATTGTGTTATGGTGATGATTGACACCGACAATGCATAATTGGTCGACCATACAATTATCTTTGTAAGTTGTGTCGAACGTATATCACCGAAGCATGTGTAATCCGATCTCGATGTAGAATCTGACCAATAGATTATAAAACCCCCGATTCGTCTACCGAGTATGACATAAAAAACCCGGGATCATCATGTTTCTTATAATCAAAGTAGGCAATAAGCGCATTCACATCCCCATCGACAATTTCCTTTGTTTTACCTCTTTGAAGTGCATTGTAGAGGTCTTTATGTGTAAATCCAACATTATGATAGCCCCTACCTGCTGCGTTAAATAGTTCATTACTTGTAACGTGCCAACACCGACCTCTTTCAATGTTGTTGCCTCATCGATATCAGCCTTACTTCAGCTCTATTAGAACGCATAAATGGTGTCATAGCAGGTGTGCACAATGCATGATTTTTCTGATCAGACTACTTATAACCCACTGATCGTTTGTATTTGTTGCTGTAACTAAGACTCTAGCCTTACATCAGTTCTTGACTGGCGTATGAGCACGTGACGATCAACAATATTGACTTTTGATCCTCGAAACCCTTCTTTGGAACAACAAAATTCTTGTGTCTTCACATTCTCTTCCACGTCAAGCCGTGTTGTTCCTTTACGTGCACTAAACCCATGTTCCCGTGCGAATCCCTTGTAAAGTACCAAGCTTGATCACGTGAACAGAAGAGCTGACCAACCAATCTGTCAGATTCATCATTATGTACTTCATGGCATTCCTTGGTTGGCTTAACATTGTCTACATCAGTATGATCCATGGCAAAATTTTGTTGTGCAAGTTCAGTGGTCCCGGAGTTGATGGAGATGTAAGCAAAGGTTCATTTTGAACATGTTTCAGTCGTGCTGCTTTCAATAGGATGTGGTATTGGTAATGGTAGTTAAAGGGTGGGTACAACATTAAATTCGCAGTACATATTAGGTATGTACAATAACTACCTAATATGTCAATACATTTCTACCTAAACATATGTTAAATTTAAATTATAATAATATTTTATAAAATATCAAACAATCAAATAATTTTTTGTGTAAATGAAATTATTAAATTAATATTGTTGATGGAAAACATGAAACATTAAAAAAAATTGAAACATAAATTACATAACTTTAAAAAAAGTATAGTCCTTTTTATAAAAAGTATGGACACTTTCAACATATCAGGTAAATTTTACCTTTTTAAAAGAGAAGAGTTATATCGTCAATAAAGTGTCGATACTTTATAAAAATGTATCGATCCATAATATAACAGGTAAAAATATGACAAAACCGGTCTCGAAATGACAAAACAGTAAAGCGCTACCGATTATGTTGAAAGTGTCGATATTTATTACGTATCGACACTTTTGGAATTTAAAAGAGAAGAGTTATAGCGCCAATAAAGTGTCGATACTTTATAAAATGTATCGATCCATAACAATATAACATGTAAAAATATGACAAAACCGGTCTCGAAATGAAAACAGGTAAAGCGCTACCGGTTATGTTGAAAGTGTCGATAATTATATAGTATCGACTTTTGGAATTAATAAGAAGAAGTTATAACGCCAATAACGTGTCGATACTTTATAAAAATGTATAAATCCATAACAATATAACATGTAAAAATATGACAAAACCGGTCTCGAAATGAGAAAACAGGTAAAGTGCTACCGGTTATGTTGAAAGTGTCGATAATTTATTATAAGTATCGACTTTTGAAATTAATAAGAGAAGAAGTTATAGCGTCAATAACGTGTCGATACTTTATAAAAATGTATCGATCCATAACAATATAACATGTAAAAATATGACAAAACCGGTCTCGAAATGACAAAAGGTAAAGCACTACCGGTTATGTTGAAAGTGTCGATAATTTATATAAGTATCGATACTTTTGAAATTTAAAGAGAAGAAGTTAGCGCCAATAAGTCGATATTTTATAAAAATGTATCGATCCATAACAATAACAGGTAATATGACAAAACTGGTCTCGAAATGACAAAACAGGTAAACGCTACCGGTTATGTTGAAAGTGTCGTAATTTATTATAAGTATCGACACTTTTGAAATTTAAAAGAGAAGAAGTTGTAGCGCCAATAAGTGTCGATACTTTATAAAAATGTATCGATCCATATAATATAACAGGTAAAATATGACAAAACCGGTCTCGAAATGACAAAACAGGTAAAGCGCTACCGGATATGTTGAAAGTGTCGATAATTTATTATAAGTATCAACACTTTTGGAATTAATAAGAGAAGAAGTTAAGCGCCAATAAAATGTCGATACTTTATAAAATGTATCGATCTATAATAATATAACATGTAAATATGATAAAACCGATCATAAATGACAAAAGGTGAACACATATGTCGATACATTTATAAAAGTATCGATCCAAAAATATCGAAACCGATACTTTTTATAAATGTATCGACACTATATGCGTTCACCTTTTGTTATTTATAGACCGGTTTTATCATATTTTTACATGTTATATATTATGGATCGATACATTTTTATAAATTATCGACACTTTATTGGCGCTATAACTTCTCTTATTAATTCCAAAAGTGCGATACTTATAATAATTATCGACACTTTTAACATATCCGGTAGCGCTTTACCTGTTTTGTCATTTCGAGACCGGTTTTGTCAAATTTTACCTGTTATATTGTTATGGATCGATACATTTTTATAAGTATCGACACTTTATTGGCGCTATAACTTCTTCTCTTTTAAATTCCAAAAGTGTCGATACTTAATAAATTATCGACACTTTCAACATAACCGCTAGCGCTTTACTGTTTTGTCATTTCGAGACCGGTTTTGTCATATTTTTACATGTTATATTATGGATCGATACATTTTTATAAAGTATCGACACGTTATTGGCGCTATAACTCTTCTCTTATTAATTCCAAAAATCGATACTTATAATAAATTATCGACACTTCCAACAAACTGGTAGCGCTTTACCTGTTTTGTCATTTCGAGACCGGTTTTGTCATATTTTTACATGTATTGTTATGGATCGATACATTTTTATAAAGTATCGACAGTTTATTGGCGCTATAACTCTTCTCTTTTAAATTAAAAGTGTCATATAATAAATTATCGACACTTTCAACATAACTGGTAGCGATTTACCTGTTTTGTCATTTCGAGACCGGTTTTGTCATATTTTACCTGTTATTTGTTATGGATCGATACATTTTATAAAGTATAGACTTATTGACGATATACTTCTTCTCTTTTAAAAAAGTAAAATTTACCTAATATGTTGAAAGTGTCCATATTTTTATAAAAAGATCTATACTTTTTTTAAAGTTATGTAATGTTTCAATTTTTTAATAGTGTTTCATGTTTTCTACAAACAATATTAATTTAATAATTTCATTTACACAAAAAATTATTTGATTGTTTTGATATTTTATAAAATATTATTTTCTGCCTATAATATTTAATAAAAGTATCGATATTTATATTTTTCCTTGAATATCACTTTCTACCTGCAATCGGTCCCAAATGCTTCTTTACTCCAAAACCCCAAACAACACATAAAAACCCTATCGCGATTACTGTAATAATAAAATTAGGGTTTCATACTTTTTTCGACACAACAACAACAAACAAACTTCGCTTTAGAAACGCCTTCTGAAATGCAGCAACAATTACGCTTCGATTTCAAAAACTCGTCGTTCTATCTATTTTCAGAGGATATTTAGCTATGACCTTTATATTTTCATCGATATGTTATTTATATTAATCGATACAAATACAAAAGTGTCGATACTTTTATGTCAGGTGTCGATACTTTCGAAAGGATAATTACGTATTTCTTTGAAAGTATCGATAATTTATTACACGTACTTACGAAAGTATCGACACTTTTAATATATCCGGTATCATTTTACCGGTTTTATCATTTTGATATCGGTTTTATCATATTTTTACCTATTATATCGTTGTTTGATCGATACATTTTTTAAAGTATCGACACTTTATAGACGCTAAAACTGCTTCTCTTTTAAATTCACAAAGTGTCGATCCTTATATAAAGTTTCGACACTTTTAATATATCCGGTAGCATTTACCGGTTCATCATTTGGATACTAGTTTATCATATTTTTATCTGTTATATCGTTTGATCGATATTTTTGAAAGTATCGACACTTTATAGGCGCTTAAACTGCTTCTCTTTTAAATTAACGAAGTGTCGATCCTTATATTAAAGTACCGACACTTTAAATATATTCGGCACCGCTTTACCGGTTTTATCATTTCAATACTGGTTTTGTTATAGTTTTACCTGTTATATCGTTGTGGATCGATACATTTTTAATTTGGATCGACACGAACCGACAAGTTAAGTTTGTCGGTTACACAATTTTTTAATATTTTTTCATAACTTAGACCTACTACATTATTATTAGTCAACATTTTCGATAGCGCTAAACCAAATTTATTAATTATCTTTTAATATATCCGCTAACACTATATATTAACCCGCCGTTCCTGAGACATTCCCAGAAACTTTTGGTTATATTCTCGTATAAATCAAAACAAACAACACATTACTGCTGCTATAAATGGATTGGGTTTAACTGGACAGGACGAGTCCAGCATGAAACGTAACAATATAAAGCAGGAAAACGGCCATAAAAACGAGATTATAGTGGGACCAACCAGATCAACGGCCATAAAAACGAGATTATAGTGGGACCACATAGATCAACGGACCGATCTGTCAAACTTCCTGCAACCGCTATTCTTTTGTCGGCACATTCAAATGCGAGCCAACTAAGCGATTGCAACGAATCGAAAAAAGGTATCGGCTACAGCGGATTCTTATTCCTCACTCTTTCTTCTTTCGTCTTACGAATCTTACCCGAGAAACCAAGCAAACACAGAATTTTATTCACGCCGAGGGAGAAAAAGAAAGAACTTAGAATTTATTATTTTATTGATTTTTTTTTTTGGTTGAGGGGAAATTGGGAGAGAAAGTGAAATAAGATGAAGATCACGGCGTTAGTGGTGTTGAAGTGCAATCCGGAAGGATCCGATCCGATTATACTAGCCAACGCAACCGATGTGAGCCGTTTCGGTTACTTCCAAAGGCCAAGCGTCAGGGAGTTTATCATCTTCGTTTCTCGAACTGTAGCTAAACGTACCCCTCCCGGTCAGCGTCAGTCCGTCCAGCACGAAGGTCGGTCATTTCTATTCAACCTTATTTATCTTTCTTGATTTAGGGTTAGGAGGATAGTATTTTCTTTGTCTGTGACTCATATCTGTTCGATTCGATTCTTAACACTGTGTTTAGATCTTTTTTCTTCTATCTTGTATTAGCTTGTTAATTTTTTTCTGTTCCAAACGAGATTTAATAGCAAAAGGAAAGCATAATTCGAATGCTGTTCTAACTACTAATGAAGATTTGACTTAAAAGTTATGGCTGATCTTTTCTATATTTGTTGATTTCGTTTCTCTTTGAGGTTTTAGTGTATGATTTGGTTGATTCTAATGAGACTGGGAAATTATGATCGTATTTTATTCTGAAGTCTCTAATTTGTTGTTTGGTGATATTAATGTAGAGTACAAGGTTCATGCTTACAACAGAAATGGACTGTGTGCCCTGGGATTTATGGATGATCATTATCCTGTTCGAAGTGCTTTTTCGCTTCTCAACCAGGTAAAAGACACTAAGTGCTCCATTTTTGCTGTTCCGTTATTTCCTTGCAACCAAGTAAACAAAACTTTAGCTCTATCTCTTAGTTCTTGTAGCTGATCCTGAATATATGAAAGCTAAGGCTTGTTTGGTTTGATTTGGTTTAGATATGATGTACCACGTCAGTTATAATTTTCTTTTAGATATGATTATTCTTTGTTTTGGATTCACTTGTGAACCAGTCACGTTTTTGCTTGATGCTTGGTATGGATGTTATTGTTAGTGTTATAGATAGATAGATGGACCAGTCGAGGAAGAGCGTGCATATACAATGCCTTAGGATTGAAAGATGATTTCAAGTGTCTGGGTCACATATTATATCACATTTGACATGCGAATGTTTTTTACTGTTCTTTGCTTTGATTGTGAAAATTTTCTGTTAGCTTTTATCATTCTTTGATAAATTCCAAATGATGATGTTTGCCAGGTGTTAGATGAATATCAGAAAAATTTTGGGGAGTCATGGAAAAATGCGAAAGCGGATAGCACTCAACCTTGGCCCTATCTGAATGATGCTTTGACCAAATTTCAGGTATCAGTTATTTTCTTTATGCATGTCTGCTGTAGTTCTAATGTGGTAAGTGAATTGTACTTTTCAAATCATATCAGAGCCTACCTAAAGAATATTAGTTGGAGATTTAGGGAAGTTGTTTTGAAAATCCTTTTCTAACCCTCTTTCTACCTTCAGGACCCTGCAGAGGCGGATAAATTATTGAAAATTCAGAGGGAGTTGGATGAAACTAAAATCATCCTTGTAAGTGTTTTCTGTTGATGCATAGATTAGTGATCTTGTATGTATTTCCTTTATCTTTCAGATATCATAGCATGGAATCTTCACCTTGGAATATCATTGCATTGACAATTTATACTTGTATTGACTGTTTGTTTGTCTAACATGCAAAACACTTGCTTTAGATCAAAATTGTTTTTGCTTTGATGTTGATATAAATGATGACAATTATAGAAAGATTTGTTTATACATAGCAAACTAATTAAGGTCATCATGGATGTTGCATAATTGGTTTTGTGCATTTTTGGTTTACAATTTGCAATATTGCAATTTCTTACTCTGTTATTAGGGAAACCAAATTGGGTTTGTTGATGTTATAACCTATTTTCATTGGAGGAAAGAAAATTGTTGGTGGAATATTTAAGTTTAAGATATATCAACTGCTAAATGGCTATTTAGATAAGAATAAAAAGTCCATGGTTATTGCCAATTGAAGTATGTTTATGTTCCATTCTTTGCATGTGGTCGTTTCTAATTAGTTCACATTTCCAAGATACAGAACCTTCAGCAGATTGTTTTCTTGTTTGATATGTTTGGCACATAAGCAATTAATGAGAGTGCCATATGTTCATTTTCTATCTATTTTCTCAACAAGAGGATTTTGAAGGAGAACATTGTTTATCAAATGGCTAAATAGCAGCCTACGCCACATCTTCATAATCCCTAATTTTTTGTCGACTATTGCTGTTAAACATGCAACTTGAATTGAAGATGAGATGATGAAATAATTACTATGTTTTTGTTAGCACGACTGATTAATAATTCTTCTGACACATTGAAATGATCATTTAATCGATGCAGCACAAAACTATTGATAGTGTACTTGCACGAGGTGAGAAGCTAGACAGTTTGGTTGAGAAGAGTTCAGACCTGAGTGCTGCATCTCAGGTACACGTGCAACACTTAACACAAATCACCAATTTGCATATCCATCAAATTCTGCTTTTCAAGACCCGTGTTTCTTTCCTATTATCATTTTCCCCTTGTAGTAGTTCTCCATTGCAGTGTCAGTTTTACTTTATACCCTCATCCCTTTTCTTTCTGTTTTAGCACTTTTTTACCATCTTCACTTCACTGTAAATCTAACTACTGTATGTTGTTGCTAATTCTGGTTATTGAAACAGATGTTCTACAAGCAGGCTAAGAAAACCAATCAATGTTGCACCATATTGTAGACTTCCTTGAGAAAGCTAGATATGCAATTCACTTGTGTTAGACTCTAAAGCAGATGGCTGTAATTTGTTTATATATGGTTTATCAAAGATTATTTGGTTGTGAGAATTCCCGATATTTCCCTTTCTTTTGGGGGAAAACAATTAGTGTTCCCACTGGCGGTGTATGACAAATAGTAGATCATATTTCTTGTTTCTGTGGATATAATATAATAATTTGTGTTGTGGCTTGTTTTGTGTTGTTTTCGGTGAATCCTTATTTATTGCCGAGGTTGGGTTTTGGGTACGCACTACATAAGGAAAAATTTCGCTTTATTTTGGTCAACAGCTCGGACTGAGCCATGCCCATGCCCATGCCCAAGCTTACATCACCGACAAAAATGCATGTCGGTTTTTTACTCGAGTCTTTTCCTTTTCCTCATTTTTACCATGAAGTGATTATAGAATAACCATGCGAAACACAACACATAACATTTCTCATTGTACGTAAATTTCATAATATATGTTCTTTAATAGTAGCTGTGCTTCGTGTATTTTTGTATGCATCTGTATACCCTATACAATGGCTAATGATGTGACAGATAGGTTAAAGTGGTTTGTTTTTTAAGTTTGAGGGTCAAATTAATTTTTTAAGTTTAAGGCTTATTTGATTTTTAAAAAATATAAAAATATTCAAAAGCTTTAATATAATAATACAAAGAATAAAAATTAAATTACTAAAACATTTTAAAATATATTATTATTTTGTTTTTAAAATAAAAATGAAATAAAACTCAATTCAGAATTCGCCTCTAAATTTTAATTTGAATTTGAATTTTATTTTTATTTTGTTGAGACGTATTTAATATTTCTTGATTTTTTAAAGTAAAGATTAAAGTGACAAAAAAAATCTCAAAGACGTGAAGTTCATATCTACCTAACTTTATAGAGTTGTATCTAGGTATGGGCATGAGACCTGAACTTGATGGGTTTCGACCCGACCCGATCATCGTGTCGGTTTTTTTATTTAAATCGGATTTGGGTCGGGTCAGATTTGAGTTTAGGGTGAAAAATACCCGACCCGACCTGACATGAAATTTTATTACCATATATATTTAAGAATAATTACAATAATATCCTCCATATTTTATTTTTTTCAATTAAATCACTGTTTTATTGAATAAAAATATTATTTTTTTATTATTTCAAGCCGGGTAGAATCAAATTCAAATTTTATCTCAAACCATTAGGTTTGGTTCGAGTTGGGTGGAGGGTATATATTTTTCGGGTTGGGCCGGTCGGGTGAAAGTTGTAAAACTTTTGGGTCGGGTCGGGTTGGCCGAAACCTAACCCACACTCATCCCTAGTTGTATCTATAAAAAATGATGGGAAAAGTCGATATTCCAACTTTTTCATAAGATCAAGTTATATTCACTAAAAATGTTCCTCATAATTTTTTTTAATTATATGGTTTCATGACAATTTATAAATAAATTTTAATTTCATAATTTTTTATAAGACTTTATAGTATTTATTTTATTCGTTTTTATAAAAAAATTAGTGAAATAAGTTTTAAAAATACACTTAAAATTTAAGATAATTAGATATAAATATATAAAATAAAATTTATGCAGGAAGAACGAATTTATATTTATATTAATAAAAGTCAATTTAAATTCGAGGTTAAAAAGTAAAAAATATTTTTAATTTTTTTAGTAATTTAATTTTTTAGTTTAGGTATTATTATATTTAAGTTGTTGAATATTTTTGTATTTTGAATTTAATTTTTTTAAAAATTAAATAAGTCTTTAAATTTAAAAAAAAAATCAATTTGGCCTTTGGACTTAAAAAAAACTACTTTAGCGCATCTGCTAAATTACCAACTATTTTGGAAATGTCACATCAATACTATGGATTGTCATTTTAGCACTATGAGCTGCTACATCAGCATCGTAACGATTAACGATGAAAATCTTCTGTCAAAAAGTCACGTTAGATTTTTTTATAAGTTCGAGGACCATAAGTTTAATGAAAAACTATTATTTAAATTTAAAATATAAATAATTATTAATATATTCAATACATTAAATATAAAAATACTACAAAATCAAATTATTAAAAAAAGATATAACTACATTGAATGCAAAAAAATAGGGACTTTATTAATTTTTTTAATAAAAGTTTGAAGGTTTTAGATGTCATTAAATAAAAAAGTTGCTAGAAAAATTTGAACTCGTGTTTTTTTTGTTCTATTTGTTCAAAATTTTAAAAAAATTTAATAAATATATTGAAAACATTTTTTTTCATGTTTTTATTTTTCAAAAATCTTTTTTTAATTTTATAACCAAATAAAATTTCTTCGATGTTTTTTATTTTCTAAGAAAATGAAAATGACATATTTTCTAGAATCAAACGAAAATGAAAATAGATTTTTATCAATGAGAGTTGGTTCAAGTGGTAAGTAGCTTGATATCGCTTAAGAGAGTATCGAGTTCGAGTCATTGTGAATGAAAAAATCCATGTTGTGAGATTCACCCACCTAAGTTAGATGTGCGACCCGGGTCAGTCCGAATTAGTTAAGATGAAGCCTTGAAACAGAAAGAAAAAAATAATTTATATTTTCTAGAACCTAATGTAGCCTTAAAGTTCTTAATTTTCTATTTTTTTTTATTTTTTTATAAGTTTTATAAGGTCTTCAAATTCCTAAAACCCTCCAATTAGTAAGACATTCAGGTAACATCATTTATCAATTTGATTAAAAGCAGTGTTGACTTTCGAATTAATAGAGGTGAGTGATGGTAACAAGATTAGATCTTAAAAAAAACAGCAAGACATTGGTGAAGACATAAGACTATTGACGTGGAAAGAAAATGACAAATCAGTATCAAACATATGATCATAACTCATAAAAACAATGAAAATGAAGATGAAGTTTTATAAAGAGGAGGGTGCATTGATGATCAATGAGGATTAATTTGAAGATTGAATGAACGATGTTCCCTTTTTGAAACAATAAGATTTTATCCTACGGTAAATGAATTTTTTTAATAGGGACCATTACATCAAGTAGTTATACGTAAGGGGATCATTGATATCTCTGGAAAGTACGACACGAAGTTGAATAGAGAGGAGGTCAACAACAACGAGTGCGTCCGAAAAATGGTCGTCTAGCTTGGCTAAAAGGTCTGCCACCGCGTTAGCTTCCCTGTATATTTTCATGAAGTGCACAAACCAGTCTCTATCAAGAAGTCGAGCTGTGGCTCTAACAGCAGGGAAAGGGCTGATCGGAGAAGGTGGCGAAAGAAATTTTAGAGCATCACCACTATCTCTTTGAACAATTACTTTCTCAAATCCGTACGACCAAGCAAGTTTAATAACTTCGTAAATTCCCCACAGTTCAGTTTCAAGAATAGTGGAAAAGCCAATTTTCTTGTGAAAAGCACCCAAACATTTCCCGCTATGGTCACGGAATATGCCTCCGATCGAGCTTGATTTTAGTTGTGTTGAAACAGCACCATTAGTGTTTAGAGCAATCCATCCCTAGTAGAGTGACTCCATTGAATTTGAGTGATGATCGGAACTCTAATCCGAGATCTGACAAGCGAACATTCTGTAGACATTCATTTTTGTCCGAGACTTCAAAGAGCCTATTTAGTATAAATGATAATATATATAATAATTTTAAAAATATACAATATATATATAGTTTTTGTAGATATAGTATAGTTTTTGAAAATACATTTTTGAAAACATAATATATAGTAAAAAACGGTTTTTGAAAACATATTTAATATAGTTTTTGAAAGCATGTTTTTGAAAACATATAATATATAGTTTTTAAAACGATTTTTAAAAACATATATAATATAGTTTTTGAAAATATATTTTTGAAAACGTATAATATATAGTTTTTAAAATGGTTTTTTGAAAACATATATAATATAGTTTTGAAAAACATATTTTTTGAAAACATATATATATTGTAACACCCATAACCCGTATAATTATACCTATACAGATTATAGATGTCAGCTGAATTTCTAAAACCATTTTCAATTTAAAGTGATTTAAAATTTCTTTTCTTAAAATGGTAAATGATATTATAAAAATATCATATCATATCAAATTATCACATACTATTTAAAATATATATTAATATGGATTTATGCCATTTTTCAAAATAGTTCAACAAAGCAACTAGGACATTAATAATTACATGCCACTAACAAAGTCTAAATTACATCATATGATGTCTTACTGATATTGTAGTGTATTCCTGGATGCTTAGAGTGCCATGTACTCTTTACTCTATTCTTGGCTTGTTTACCTATGGGTGAAAATCATCACACGCTAAGTATATACTTAATGAGACAATTTAAAAATAATAAACAATCATTTCATGCATAAAATTTAAATGTCATCATCATATACCATAAGATTTTCTTACTTGCCAAAATCAACATGACATGTTATAAATTTAATCAATAACTATAGCCAAATTTATTTATCTATGAGGAACCCGGTATAGGAGTCAAAGATTGCATAATAATGCTAAGGTTGAGCCATGCTCACCTAATAAATTACACCGTAGTGCTGAGGTCGGGTCTTGCCCACCTAACTTGTACTATGTGTCTTTACTATACACTTTAGTACTACTTAAATTTTCACAACTGCTAGACTCTATGGCATGCCCTTAATACCACCGAACCTCAATAACATACTTGGGCATTTAGTCATGAATTAAATCATTCATGGCAACGTATAACCATGAAACAAATATTAGGGCAGTTCATACCCAAAATATCATTCATGTCAAAATTTCATGCTGACAAAACAAGGTAGACTTATCACAAGTCTTCCGGATGATGTATAAAACATCTATGTACATGGTGTATAAAACATCTATGTACAATGTCATGCATGTATTGCACTCACCTTGACACTTTAAATTTTTAAAAGATTTTTCCTCACTATGCTCAAACTTCGTCTTTTTTATTCTCGATTTGCTTTGAACACTGAGTCAATCACGATTTGTACAAAATCATAGATTTATATCTATACATATGTTAGTATTGTACTAACATAAATATATTTCCAAAATAAATTCCATAATCATACTTGAAACCTATTCGCCACCAAATACTTTAACACATTTTACTTCTTTTTAATTTTGGCACCAACTTTTCCAACTTATATAAAATGGTCCTTCACCATTTAACCCCTTAAACTTTCAATAAAAAAATTCCATTATTG